TGGCAACCCACATATTTTGAATTTTGCTAATATTTCCAGCTTGTTTATCTCCCATGCAATCTAACCTGCTATTTGACTGTCTTTAAAACTAGCTGAGAAAATTATCACATCGACTGTAAAGTTCCTGGTAAGATAGCATTTATACTGAACAAGTATATTCAGGACACTGAACTTGACAATATTATTACATTTCAATGTCTCTGTCTAATATTTCACTATCTTCTACCAAAGGGATTTTGGTCAGAGTAAGTGATGAACAGATGAAGACTAAAAAGAGATATACATCCCATCTTGGGTTAATTTAATCCATTGTCAACAACTAGAGAGGCAAAAAGGAGAGAATCAGATTACTCAATACTGAGAGAATCTGCCCACATAGAAATTATTTCTCTGAGATGGAAAGAAAGAAGCCTTTATAGCAGAAAACTATGCAGTTAAAACAGTTAATGAAACTGTAACTCAACTAAAATTCTCTCCTTCTCCCCCTCCCCACCACAAAATGGTTTGAAAACAAGTGCTGATTTTTTTTTCCTTCTGACCTACTTCTTATTAAATTGTATTTAATAAGATTATGTATGCATTTGCATCAGCAACAGCATTTCACAGTCAAATGCTGGATGACAGAAAGAGCTAGCTTACTTTCTCCAATTCCATGCCATGAATCAGTGAATTAATTTACCAGTGGATGTGGAGAACAGCATCTTGAAGCCTGTTTTATAACCAGCCATCAGTGGTGTGCAAAGAAATTCTTGTAATGAGCAAATCCATCAGATACTCTGATACTTGGGCATTGGCATTGTAGAAAGCAAAATGAGAAGTCCTAATCCCAAATCCTGAAGGACAGCACTTGCCAGTATTGAATTAAATGATTTTTTTTTTTTCAGAACACTTCACGATGTATTATAAAATGTTTCTTTATTAATGTGAATAATTATTGTGATAACTTACACAAATAAGTACTTGCCTGAATAAGAGCTACAGAATTGCATCCTATGGGAATGACTTCAGCAGGGGTTCTAAAGCATTCATCATTCTTAGTGAAAGTCTTAGACTTAGTTGATGAGGAATAATGCAAAATTATGTACTATTTGTAAATCTTTATTCTCATTTAGCATATATGTACCTACAGCAAGTATCATTTTCAGACTAATTTCAATGGAACCTGAAGCCAGAGAAAAACTTACAGCTTTCACTGAGTGCCTCAGAAGCCCTGAAGTGAATTGTTAGCAGCAGTCACTCCTTTAGCAAACACAGAGGAGTCACCAGTGCATTGTGTGACAGGGAATGGGAAAGCAGAACAGACCAGAATCTCAGTTCTTCTCAGAGCTTTCCAGCTGATGAGTATCAACTGAAATACCAGATTTCCAAGAGGGGACTACTGTAGGGTAATGCATTAAAGTGAAAGCTCTACACTTCAATATTTTTTATATTTTTTTAAAAATTATATTTATCAGATAGAGCACTATGAAAAAAAAAAACCCAAATGTGAGGTTTTGATCAATCTGGCAACACTGAAGAAGAGCTCATTGATGGAAAAAAAAATAACTGTTTTAAAAAATTTGTTTATGCAAACTTCTTTTATGTATCTTTATTAGATTTCAAGACCATGACTTGGAAATGTGAAAATCACATTTTGCTTGTCAAAAATCAAGACAACATGACATCAGAAGTGTTGGGGTGTGAAGCAGTCTACAGGCCCACAGTAAAGACCTTCAGAAAAAGTAACGAATGCCAAGGGGCTCTGAGAGACAGAAGGGACTCTAAGATAGCATGATGCCTTGATTACCATGTCCTCACTGACTGAAATCAGTAAAACACTGCATTTGTTCTGAATTTAATTGTAGTCTTTAATCTCTTAAAAACCAAGGCACAATCATTCCAAGTATCAGATCCAAGGAATCACCAAAACTGACAATCCAAGTACATTAGTACCATTAGTACAGTTCATGCTTCTGTGCCTTCATTGATGAACTCATTCCTGGTTCCCAAAAGTCACCCTCTGCTGTTACAGAGAGAGCTGCAAGTGACTTTCTGTATTTCATAACCCTGAGCTCAATATCCGTTATTGCTCCTTATGGAAATTTTAAAGATGTGTTTTATTTAAGGAAGCTTTTCTTCATCAGAATAACTGTAACAGATGTTTTATGTTGTATTTGTTTTGCTATGTGATAGCACTGCAGAGAGAGATTAAATTAACTCCCCAAGTAGTATATTTCTAGGGTGAAACTAAACAAGAAGAAATCAAAACATATGTCCAAGGGAAAACCAAGCATCTATTCAAGGGACAGATATTTTTGCAATGCTGCCTTTTCTGGTTCTTTACATGGTGTCATTGTTTCCAGTGAAAGTGTGCATCACATTCCCAAGATCTGTGCACATTATCGCACTGGTGGTAATGAACATCAGCTAATACTAAAGCTATTCATAACTTATCTTTTTTCTCCTGAATCATAACTCCTGTATTCCTCTAATGATGATGTTTTTATGTCTCAGTAGTCCTGGTCTAACGTACATATATGACAATTAAAGTATAGGTGAAGATTGAATTGCATGGCTAGAGTGAAATTCCTGTTTATTAAAAAACAGTAATAATTTATTTAACAAAATTTTAAAAAAATTAATCTTGTTTGCAATTCCTTGAAGATGTGGCATGAAAACTATATTACACTACCTACATTTTGATAGACAAGGCTGCCCCAGGAATGTTACTTTTAAAAAATATTAATAGTAAAAAGATTCTATATTTTAAAGGTTTTTGTATACTGAGTAAATAAGCCCAAATACTGTACTGTTTCAGCAGTGAAGTATGTCATGATTTTTGCCTTGCTTGTCATGAATAACAGAATGACAGATCCGCCCACAAGTTACTAGCACCATGACAAACCATGCTATGGCAGAATGACAACTTTTCTCATCTAAATTAAAAAAGACATCAAGAAAATGTCACTGTTCCCATACTGAAGTCTTCTGACAAAATAAAGCTAGCAACACCACAACAATCTCTCTCAACAGATGCCTTTGACTAAAACTTCAATCTGAGAAACATACTTTAAACATAAGATATTCTCCGAGGCATTAATCATCAATAGGGATCTTGGGGCTGATTGTATTCTCTACTTTCCAAGTCTATATTTTGATTATGTCTGTGCTGGAGAATCAAACAATTTTGAACTGAACCAATGGCACAGAACACATTTAAATGTGAACTTGAGAACTTGTGTGCTATAGCAATATAGAATTTTTTTGTATACAGCATATTTTTGTGCAGAGATCCTTATGCCCCACACATGAAAAAAAAGCAATAACTCTGTTTGAGCTGCTTTTAGCAGAGCTAAATACTATTTAGGCTGAATTGTTTCAGCATGGAGTAAGTTCTAACAGAAGGCTTGAGTTTTCTAGCCACTGAGATAGTGACTTTAAAGGTGCTTGGTACACAGAGTTAAACTCAGAGATCTCAGAAGATGGAAGATTGACATATCCAGACAGAAGATACAGTGAATTATACCAGAAAGTGTTTGGTATATATACTGGGCCATTGTTCTGTACAGAGGGAATTTATGTTAAAAATAATAAAAGCCAGTAGAGATTTAGCCAGCCACAAAAGCTATGTTGAACATTTATGCTGATACCTCAGACGAAGCATGGGCTCACAGTTAAGGAAGTAGTTACTGTGAGTTGGTTGACACTCCTTTTCCACCCCCCTTAGGCTGAGCTGTTGTTGTGCATCCAGCTGAGCCCGAGCTTCCTGCATGGGGGATTCTGTCCCTGGTTCAGCGGAGTCCCCCGAGTCTGCAGTGTGGTCATTCTCAAGGCTCTCTGCTGCTCTCCTTTTGTAAACAGGGAGCAAAAGCACAGAGGGGTTAATGAAAGTTGTGCAAGGTTGTTTTGGGAGTCTGGTAGAATGGGGGTCAGATTTCATGCATTTATTTGTCTGTCCTTTCTTGCAGTCCTGACAAGGAATGCTTATCATTTTTCATCAAAGAAATAGCTGGTGGTAGCTCAGCTAATCTTATCAGCTGCTGCTGTTGCTTTTTGAGATCAATATAAAGCATTTCCAGGTCCCTGCATTGAGGTTCCGTGGTTTCTTAGCTGTGCTAAGAGGATCCCTGTAGTGTTTCTTATTTGTGCTATGAAACCCTGAAAATCCGTATCGCTTGCAGTGCTGTCCTCCCAGTGCATGCATATATATGTCTCCTTCTGAGGCACATATGGGCACGTTCTTCTGTTCTCTTTGCACATCATTTCCATTCCTTTCCATAATTTATTCATGTCAGTTTGTTATCAAGTATTTTATTTCTCCCCATTCAGTATTCAGTGGATAATAAAGAAAGAGTGTAATACTAAACAGCACGAGGAAGAAATGCACCAGGGACTTGAGGGGTTGTATGTGCAAGACTCAAGGAGGTATTCCAGTCCATTCCCTATCCTGGCAAATGTTACTGCTTACTGAGATGCTGATCCTTCCAGCACTTGGGTGTCAAAATCCCGTAGATGCCATTAGTTTCTGTGACAAGGACTTGCACTTTCAGATCCTTGGAACACAAAGTTTTCTTTAGCTACCTGAAAAGGTGCCCCAGGCTTCTCTTCAGTCTCTTCAGAGGCAGTTGCAGGTGGTGACTCTGTCAAGACACCGAGTAACACCTGGCTGCAGGTCTGTAATTAGCAGCACTGATGTGAATAAACCTGTTCACAGCCTCAAAATTCAGCAGATGTACTGACATTCACAGGCTCAGGATTTGGTTGTGTGTGTTTTGTGTGGAGTAGTTGCTCAATGGTAAGGGAAACCTCTCTGCTCCTACCATTTCTTTCTTCTGGCTGAAGTAACAAAGTTGAAAAATACTAAATCTGTATGGGAATGGTAAAAGCCACAGTAAGTTGTTAATTGTTTAGAGACATAATTTACCTCCATTGATTTCTACTTTTAGAACACTGTATCTTGTTGACCACTTTAAAATGTCTGTTTTTCATTCTTCTCCTGTATCTTCTGCTGGATTGGGAAGGTGGACAGCATGGCGAGTCTTCACAACATACACGTTCGCACAGGCTGCTTCTGTAACACGGGAGCCTGCCAGATGCATCTGGGCATAAGCAATGAGGACATCCAAAGGAATCTGCAGGTTGGTTTCTGAATGTGGTTAGAAGTTAAAAGTTAAAGTGCATCACATGCCATGGTTTTGACTTTCTGTGACTTTATGAATGAAGTAAATTTGACTTGTTTTCTTTAAGTTTTCCACTTCTTTGGTTCTTTGTTAAAGAACTAAACTGATTGAAACTTGGCTCATTGAAATGAGGTATTGAAACAAAATCATTTGATGGATGCAGAGAAGTATGTGTTACTTGTTATTATTTCATTGGCAAATAGGAAATTGGACCTTATTGTTTGGTTTTGGATTGCAAGACTTCCAGCAGAATAGAATTTTCTGGACAATTCCGCTCATATTTTTCTTTAAGTATCCTAATTCATTATTGCACATACTAATGCTCAGGTCTTGTAGACCTGTTGCTGTTGGGTGTTACAAATTAAAATACATATGTAATTTGGACAGGAAACAATAAAGGCAAATACACAGTGAATCTTAGAGAATGAAGCAAATTTAGATGAAATCTACTTGGATTACTGGCGTGTTAGATTTTTAGAATATGAATGTAAAGACTGTTTTCAAGATTACTAACGTTTTCCATAAGCTGTCATTAAAAGATATATAGCAGGATGCATTACAGTGAAGTGCAGGAGTCTTCCTGTCTGCATATTTGTCAGAGTTTGAAATTAGAGTAAATTAATTCAGAACAATCAAAAACTTTATTAATGGTGTTCTTCCAAAGGTAAAAAAAAAAAATCTAATGGCTTTAATGATATTATAGCTCCCTTATAATTTCACAGAGATGTATAGATAATTTTGCAAACACATTTGCATGCAGGACTGATAGCACTTAGTTCTTAAAGTCTGCTGCAGTTCTTTAATACCTTCCTTGGCAAAATGGTACTTTGACTTGCTATGGAAGCTCTGTCCTCTGAGAAAATAAAAAATGGTCTATCATTTGCTGTAGTGAAAAATGCCAAATAACCAGTTGCAATGCTCCTGGATCTCCTTATACAAGGAGGATTTTGCTAAGAAGTGAGTGACTTATTTTAAATCTGTGTCCTTTAAATGGGGATAGGCTAAAGTTAAATTTATGGAGAGACACTTAATCTCCAAAGGTTGTATAATGAAGTGGTACAGTTACACAGTCGTTATCTGAGGACATTCCATTCCCATCAGTGCTTTGAGAAGGATCAGGATGGGTTATTGACAACGTTACTGTGTAGAGGAAAGCATCTTTTATCAAGTTATTTGCACATATACTTCAGTTTCGTCTTTTCCCAGGGTGCTGGCTGTATTCTTCCTTCCCTGATGAAGTTGTACATGATAAAATGCCTGTGAGGGAGGACTTTCTGTCTTCAAGTGTCCCTCGAGAAGTGTGGTTAGTTTTCTTAAAATGTTATGTAGGAGCTCGTTTGCTTATTTGCACAGTAGGAACCTCTCTCCTCAGTCAATCAAGCAATACTTGGCAGAAGGGTTACAGAAGGGTATATTAACAGATGCAACCTAATTTTGCAAATGTTGCTTCTGCTCTGTTGTCAAGGATAAAAACTACTTCACACTGCATTAAAATATTTACTACTGTGTTGCATGCTTTGACATAGATGTAGGGTTTTCATTTCTCTTTGCATAAATGGCATCTGTGTTCACTGTCCTGTGACATTTCTTGCTTAAAAAAAAAGCCCTCATGTAAATAAACTATTCACATGTTCATTTTTAATGTGACAGAAATATGTAAATAAATTAAATTCTGAGGAAAAGAAAACCAACAGCTGCTGCAGTTAGGGATTGCTGTGTTAGGACTAAATCTTAAGTCTACTGGTGAGCTAATATTAAGTGGATGAACAAAGGGGGACTCTAGGTTGCTTCATTGGTGGTGAGTGGCAGCACTCACTGACCCACCTAAAGAATGAGAAACTTTTGCTCTTCACATCTCTGTTGCTATCCCAAATGAGTTAGTTCTCTGCTGTTTGGACTATTAAACACAAGCCATGATAAAGCCACTGATGGTATTAAAATGGCACTCTTCTGCCAGTGAATATTGAGAAAACTGCCCCCCAAAAATTAGCTGTTTTATGGTTTGTTCACTTACCTGAACATAACATCACAGTTTGCAACTCAGTGAACTATGCAGGTGAGACTGGAATGTCCCTGGAGATTGTATGTCCCATGATGGTCAGCTCAGACAACCTTTTTGTGATTCTTGATATGTTTTTGGAAGTATCTCTTCCCCTAGAGTAGAATAGGACAAGCAGCTCAAAATTATCTTCATAGTGTGAGTAAATCATAAGATGATTGAGGGTTTTTTCTTCATTTTGTCTTTGTATTAATGAGTTAACCTTCTCTTTTTTACAACAGCTTTTCAAGTTATAATTAAGAGACTCATTAATAACTAGGTAAAATTAGAGAGAAATAAAGCAAAATATGACAGCTCACTCGTTTTCTTTCTATTTCAAACTAGGCTGGCCATGTCTGTGGAGATAACATAGACCTAGTTGATGGACGTCCCACTGGTTCTGTGAGAATATCCTTTGGCTACATGTCTTCTTTTGAAGATGCACAGACTTTTTTGAACTTCATCATAGCCACCAGACTCTCCAACTCAGATGCTGAGATTCCTTTCCAGTCTGTTACAAAGCTGACAACAGAGTCTGTTCCAGATGACCACCTTTCTTTTAACAAGGAGGATAAATTGTCTCCAATATTGCAAATATCTGACAGAGAACTCAGGAATATTCCTTCTGAGGCAGAGACAACTGGCAGCTGGCAGCCACCAGAGCCTGAGGCAGAAAGCGTGAGGGCAACTGTTTCTGAGATTGCAGTGCCAACGTGTAGAAAAGGTGGCAAGCCCATCATTGTCGCCAAAATTTACCTCTACCCAATCAAATCCTGCTCTGCATTTGAGGTATGTGTTTTGAACCATTCAGAAGTATTTGTGCAGCTCTGTCTTGTGTTTTTCATCAGACGTGTGTATAAAGGGAAGGAAGCAATGTGTGGGTACCCACGCTTCCTTTTTTCCAGTTTCTAGGATCAAGTTCCACGTGTTAGGCTACCTTGAAGGATTTTGAATTAGGCTGAAGTTACAGAGGAGGGGTAAATATGTCTTCTGCTCTCCCCTCCCCCACAACAGGCAAATCTGCACATAATATGCTGTCTCGAAGAAAATAGTTGGCTTTTCAAACTTGACAAAAATATAATCAAGTAATTAGTATGCTTTTACAGAATGACATGTGATGGATTTGTAGGCATTGACGGGTAGGCAGCAATTGAGAAATAACTTGATTAACATGTTATAATTGAGAGGCGGCTGATTTACATTACAAAGAAATGTTATCATTAAAAATACATTTGCAACAGAAATATGACATTTAAGTGTTGCTGTGCTATTTGAAAGTTCACTCTTTGAAGATTTTAATTGCTTTTTTACCAAGTTAATAATATCATCACCTTAGCTGTGACTTTTTTTTTTTTAATAATGCATGATGAAATAGGTATATGGCCCACACATAACCTAGAGTGTCATTCTGCTTAGTACCATATTGGGAAGTGATTTAATGAATGTCAATAATGGTATAACTTTCCCTACGAAAACTTACTGGTGTAGGTCAGTGTCTCACATCTGAAAGAAAATTGGGGTCAAATCCAGTGATGAGTCCTCTGCATTTTAAATAGGTCTTCTCAGCTGATTTGATCACATTGTGCTTTTTTTTCTTTCTCGATGCAGAGAGGTTGGGCAATTAAACACTATTAACTGATCAACTAAACATCTGTATTTTTAAATTTGGGTTGGCTTATGATGTCTTTAATTCAGAGGCACAATCCTGAGCATTAAATGAGACCTGAACAAACAATTTCCACCCCTTATTAACCTCCCACTAGATCAAACTGTCTAGAAAATCAAATTAATTGCCTGTTTCATGTGAAAATTTTTAACCTTTGTTGAAGTGTTGCAGTTTTCATAGCTGTATTAGAAGCCCAGTATGGAAGCTGCTGAAATATGTTAAATATGTTGGCAGCATTCCTGCACCTTTGGGGTTAAGTTCTATTTACGACATGCAGGCTGGTGTTGTGAGATACATGCCACAACATTCAGCACTAGGAAGACTTTGAAGTGATTGTGCCCAGGAGCAGGTGAGACATACCTCAGCATGAAAGGAAGCTTATGTTTCCCCACAAGCTGAGCTGGGTTTCTCCTCTTCAAGCTCTGTAAAGGGAAACAGCTTTAGGTGATAAATTCACATAAATCTGGTACTCCCTGGCAAACAGGACTGCATTTCTATATGGAGGGGGGAAATCCTCATGCCTCATGCAGAGTGCTTGTGCCAGGCCCAGAGTGAAACCAGGGCTCATCTTACCTCAGCTTCCACCTCTACAGCTCAACACTGTTCTGTAAGCAGTGAGAGATGGATACCTGCTTATTCATTTTAGCAAAAAATAGGAATCTGCAGTAAGAGAAATAAATTTTCCTGGATATTTATGTTTCTTTTCATTGACTGCAAGAGGAATCTCGGGCATCTTAGATTATGCAGCTAGCACTAGCTGCTCTGAATAATTTAAAAACAGATATAAAAAGTGCAACTGCATTATGAGGTTTAATTTTGCATGTCTAGAGTAATTTTTGAAGTCTGTTTTGATTTTTTTTAATAAAAAAGCCTCAGCCACATCAAAGCTGTGTAATCTAAGCACTGTCAGAGCCTGTATTGCCAAAGAGTAACAGAAAATTAAATAAATACGGGGATTTAGTGTATGGTATTGAAAGGAACAGGAATTTCACTAGAAAAGAGCATTTAGCTCTTCTCCTCCTCCTCTACTTAAAAAGTAATTTTTGTTCACTTCCATGTGGTTTATAGAAGATACATGAGTGCATATGCAAGAACAGTAGAAGTTGACCTAAGAACTGGGAAATTGTTGTTATCCACTGGGAAAGGGCTTTCACTGCATTGGGAGAGCAGGCCAGGAGTTGATGTCAAAAGAGTATTTTTATTTGGATGGGGTTTTTATATTGAAGTAAATCCCTGCAAAAAATATGTTTGCTTTTGTGGCCTTCTTCCTGTCCACCAGATGTTTTTCATGTTTTTTCTTCCTAAAAGTCTGGCTGGCACTTCTAGACCTGTCATATGTTTATAACCAGCCTGTGACAGATCTGCCAATCTCACTGTCTGCCTATAGAAGAGATAAAAATGCTATCTTACAGACCACTATTTATAATATGAACTTTAAAACTCAACTCATTCCATTCTAAATCACCAAGTGGCTTAGTCTCTTCCCAGTGAGTAAGAGTAGAATAGAAAGCCATGGCTGCCAGATCCTGCAGAGTGCACTAACCTCCAATATATATGCTTTTATGTGTCACAACTGCAGCTTCAGCCTGTATCACCTTGAAACAGGAAAATAATGTATGTCACATGCACTGGAGTTTGAAACAAGACATGCTAGAGAAGAAACCTTACCACAATTAAATGGAATCAAATCATGAAAATAATTTTGCCTTCTAAAATATTGGTTATACCAGAATCTCTAGGCTTTATCGTGAAAAGATTGAATCATATGCAAAACTATTATTTTGCCATTTGTTTAGTGGTTTTTCATAGACTTCACGCTTAACATTGTATTATCTCCTTACTTCAGCAAACATATAAACTTCTGAAGTAGTAATCATGTAGCTTTAGTCTTTGAGTGGAATCCAAGAATTGAAAATCAGTGTCTTGTTTTTAATCTAAAATAGCTTTAGATGCTTTGTAGTTGCTGGAAATTTAGAACAGTATTTTCCCAATTAAAATTGATCTCCATGTTTATCAGTTATAGGATAACTCAGCTAGCTGATGTGTAAAAGTAGAAGTGGTTCAAATACTGAGCTATAGTAAATTCATTCATCTTCTAATGCTTTGAGACTTGAGATCAGAAGCTCATAGATTTGTAAGTTCAAGTGGAGGCCTTCTACTGGTATGGGAGGTCAGACCTTTAGCATGTGTTGTAACTAGGATTTATTGTAACTACATGACCACTTGAGTTTTCCTAAAATAATGTGTGCAGTGGAAAATTCCAGATAACTGTGAGCAGGACTCAGCCCATCTACCATTGAAATCTACCCACGGAGTTGCTGGTTGCAGGATAGATGATTAGTGGCAGGAGGACAAATTTGAGGAGGATGTGAGTGCAAACTCACAGCTGTTTGATCTCCTCTTTAGAGTCACATAATATCCTCCTCTCCTAAACTCTGATTTCTCTGTTCTATTCTAAGTGGTTTAGTATGAGAGGTTCTTGACCTCCAGAGAAAATGAGAGTGCAGAGTGCTTTGGCAGCTGGGAGGATGAAGCTTGGCATGAAGATTGTCAGCTCGCTGCAGGTTGTGTGGTTTCTGCAGAATTTTATGGAGTGTTCCTGGCCACTGTTGTCCCATGGATTTTGTACACATGGTGCAGGAAGCAGAGGGCGGAATTTTCTAACTCAACTTCTCAAATGTGGCTATTTTTCCCTACAATTATTGTATTAAATGGAGAAAAGCAGAGGAGTAACCTCTGTGCCAGATCACTTTATTTTTTCCAACATAAAAATGTGTTTTAAACGTGCATTTTTAAACAGGAACATCTCTCATGTTGATGACTTTTGCATAATTATATAATGCAATCTGCCCAGCGAAAGAGGTTAGGAATTTAAAGTAATAACTAATTAATAACTTTATTATTCTTACAGTAGATTTCAGAGTATAAAAAAATTGCTTTTTCAACAAAGACAAAATAGCTTTTATTTTAAAATACAATGCAAATTCCTAGTGATCAGTGGATAAATTATATGTAAGACGACTAATATTTTTAAACTTAGATAATTTAAAGCCTTTTCAGTAATTCCTTTTGTGTTCAAAAACTGTGTTAGACTTCATGATGACATTACTGTGAACTATGGGAGAAATGCAGCCCAAAATATTTTACAGAAAATTCTGAAATAAAGAAAAAACCAAACAACCCTGCATATTTTTGCAGTAGATATATTAATTTTGTAATAGAAAGAGATGGACTAAAGCAGATAGGACAATACAAAGTACTGGCTGTATTATGCAATGATGCCCATGACAGGTAGAGAAGATCATACATTTAATGATTCTGGGATGCATCATCACCTGCCATGCTTGGAATGAAGGTTTATGCTGGTATCTATCAGTAAAACCATGCTCTCCCTGCTTTCCTTCTGTCCTCCCACTTCTAGTTTGTCCCGGTAGCCTGAAATGGCCAGGCAACTTCAGGAAATGACATTACAGGCTATATAATGCACTACTGCTCACTGCCACATGTGCTAACCTGCTCTGTTTTACTTTATTTAACAATCCCTTCAGCCCCTTTGAAATAAGGGCAGGATATGCTCTGCACAGGGGCTAGGTGCTCAGAGAAGTGAATGTGCTCTTCCTTGCTCATCTCCAGCATCAGTATTGGCAGGCAACCAGCTCTGGCTGTTCAGAGCCCTCTGTGACTCTCCATCCAAGTTATTTTGTTGTTGCAACTTCCTTTACCAGGGTTCTAGCAACATGTACAATACAGTGAGCTGAAAAGTGGAGAGGGAGTTGGGCACTTGACAGTGCACAGAGGACAGGGACAGGACAGGGACTCACTGCAGGGCACATGTGTATGATGCTTGCTGCAAGGGACATGTGTGTGACTCTTCCTGAAATGGCAAACACCCAGAGGAAGGGGGGAAAATGGGTTGAGGACCTGTAGTCATGGGCTACATCACATTTGTGGTGTGAGTGAAGCATGGAGTTAGTTGCCATTATTTTGGACCTGTCAGAGGTGTCTTGAGTGGAAGGTGTTGATTATTTCCAACTATCTGCTAGCTAGTTAGCTGGGCTTACCCTTTAATGCCTGCCAGCATGCAAGATCTACCTGAAGCTCTGATTAAAGAGAAGTTTTATTTTGCTCATAAAGCCTCTTGCCTTCAGTGAAGGCAAATGCTTAAGCAATTTCCTGAATAAGAATGCTGTCCTGAAGCATTCAGGAAGCTGTTCCCTAAAACAACTGAATGTTGCAATAGGGAACTGGGAAACTTTGTGGTCTTCTATTTTTCTGCTTTTTTAGTTTATTCTGCTCTCTATATCTATCAAATCCTGTAGAGATCTGTTTGATTCATGGGAGGATGTATTACCAATTAACGATCTTATTTTTTTGGAAGGGAGATTTGTTAGCAGGAAATTCTTGCAGCTCTCAGATGATCACCAGCTGTTTAAATGCATTTTGTAGTCTAATTATACAGGATAACCAAAAATGCTGGTCTCTCCAAAGAAAAATTTCCACTAAGAACAAAAGTGTGTTCTTCAGCTGATATTGCAGTCTTTGGGCTGTGTTTCCTCTCCTAAAAAAGACAGGGCAAAGGTTCACAAAGCTGAGGTTCACATTGCTGGCAATTTGAGGTACTTGGATAATTTGATTTCAGATGACACTGTCAGACCTAAAATTCCTATATATCACAGAATTTTCATCCACAGTTGCATAAAAAAATTGCCAAATAATATTATAAATCAAGTGGGTTGAAAGAACATGTTTCTTCTCCTAATTTTTATTTTTATATTTTCTGTATTCATTATAGTTGGTAGCACTGTAGTAAAATTATTTTTATTTTAGCTTTGATGCTTTAAGTTTTCAGGTCTAGCATGCCTGCCCTTAATTTTCTATAGTCAGGCAGTCAGTGTCAAACTGCTGCTGCCGGCTTTTATAAAAATAGGAAAAGTTTATAAGAATGAGATATGTTAGGTTCTGTCAAGTTTTGGGTTGATCATACAATAAACAAAAATGTGATTTTTAATTAATCTAGCCAGTGCTTCCAGACATGCTTTTCTTCATAGCATCAGGCTGCGCTTGATATATCTTTTACTCAATAGTGTTTTTCTGAAGTCTTTTGTTGGCTAATTCATGTGAGATATGCTCAGCTTTTCTAGAAGAATTCAATGAAGTTCAGCTGTAAACTTTTCTCCATATTCAACTGTCACTAGAAAGCATACATGAGCTGAAGAATATGTTAGTGGCCAGCTTTATATCATAAGAATGGTATCAATATTTTAATATTCTGGAGAAGAAAGCAGATATTAATGTCACCCAAAGGCGCTACTAAAATTGCTCTCTTTTTGGATTTCAAGATTACCATCTGTGTAGCATCAGAAACAGATGTTCTTTTCACCAGAAAAATGTATGTGAAAGCAAGGACAATATTCTTGTATGGGCTATTGAATGTAAAGACTGTTATACAAGTAATGGAAGAACAGATAGCAAAGATGACAATATATTTTGTTGTAAGGGAATTTAAAGAAACTATTATTCTCCCAGCAAAACCAGAAGCTTCGGTGGCAGAGATTTTCTCAAATGGATTAATTGATAAAGTGGTCCCATTTTATGAAAAACAAGTTTTTTCAGAATTTTGAATTTCACAGTTTTCCTGCTTTTGTTTGGTTGGTTTTGCCTTAATTCATAAAATTTTGTGCTTTGTAAGTTAAATGAAAATTTCTGGAGGAACAGGTGCTAAAACTGGATGAGTATAAAATTGAAGACAGTTTTCAGAGTATTTCAGATTGTTTATTCTTATAGCTCTGTTAAACTGCATGATAATATGTAACAACTTCGAGTAATTTGATTTTTTTCTTTTGTCAGTTTTGTGCAGTGATATCTTTATCTTTGATTTGCAATTAAGGTTTCTCTTATAAAAAGCTGACATTGGCTCACATAAGTTTTCCTGATTTAAACGAGTTTCATTAAGGGGTTATTTTCCCTCTCTTCGCTTTTCAGCATGAATCTATTAATGCAGCTAACATTTTTTAAACCATTGTACCCCTCCTAATGCTTTCCCAGGTTACAGAATGGCCAGTAGGAAACCAGGGTTTGCTGTATGACCGAAACTGGATGGTTGTAAACCAGAATGGAGTCTGTATGACTCAGAAGCAGGAGCCAAGGTTGTGTCTTGTGAATCCCTCAATTGATCTGAAGCAAAAAATTATGCTCATTCAGGCAGAAGGTTAGTAAACTATGTCCTTCCTTCCCTTCTTTATTGGTGTCAGATTTCTAGGCAGGGACACCTGCAAGCTCCCACCAAACTCCTGAGTGCTGTGCATGCTTACTTGTGACTTTAGGGGCAAGTTCTGTGCCAGCTGTGAGCAGTGAAGCCCAACCTGTTGTATGCAGCCCTGGGGGGCTTCCTAACTTCCTAACTACCTCTGTTGGTTAGGCAGAGAGTAGACAGTGACTCCCTATGTGGAATCATAAACTGAATGCTCCAGGATGGAGAAAGGAACAGACAAATGTGGAAATTCACTGACTGGTGTGTCTCCATAGCCTGAAGTCCCATAGCCTGAAGGGATAGTTAATGCTGCAAAGGTAAAGGAATAGAAGTCTTAGCATTAAACACCCTGGCCAAAACCCTTCCCATTTTGTATCTCTTCCTCCTTCCATCTGTGGAATTAGAGGGGTAAAGTCTTCAGTAGCAATTAGTATGAATTAAAATAAGGACCAGACATTATTTAACTCAAATACTTGCTCTAGCAGGCAAATATTTCATGATGTTTGAGCTTCCTGGGAATTATCAGAATCCTTTTTATTCACTGCTGAGGGGAAAGAAAAAAAAAATGTGAAGTGTTACAGAAAGCCCTTTACTACTCAGGGGTGAAAATTATTTATTTTCATAACAGTGCCATTGACACTGAACACTGAAATGAGTTTGAATACCACAGAAATTATTAGTAATGCTGAGTTTCCATGTGTCTGAATGGAGTTCATAATTTCCCTGGGGTCCAGCATTTACTCAGCTCATATGTCTTAACCACTAATAATATACGTTCCAAATTTTCAGCAGCTAGACCAAAACAAGGGAACCTATCTTCAGATTTTTCACCCTTTATTAGAAATCCATATGAGTGGATCTGTAACCACACTCTCCTTTCTGTGTGTACATTAGGGTTGCTGTCAACTCCAACTGTCTGAGCACTTGCCATAGAATTAAATCTGACTCAATTCTTTTTGTCTGAAATAGGTTTCTCAAATGTACACTTTTATACTTCCACTAATCATATGCTATTTTATGTTTCCAATCCCAAACACAATCTACTCTCTTCTTAGCAATTCCAGGCTTGTTCACTGGCATGTACACTGCTGCTTTCCCTTCTTGCCTCCATACTATTTCCTTGAAAATATATCATTAATTCATTTCAATTCTATGTGGAGGACTTTGCACCTCAAATTTCTGTAGTACAGTTGCACAGACAGCCTTCTCCCACAACTTTTAAATTATCAACTGCTTCAGAACTAATTATTTCTAGAGATTTATTTCCTTATCATCTCTCTTCCTTTCTCACCATTCTGAGTCTGTTCTTCTTTTTTTTTTTCCTTACTAGCACTCATTCAGACAAGTGCATACCCATTAGTATGTTCACCTGTCAATAACACCTGTCAGTAACACCTGTCATACTTCAGGGAGTCAGGAGGAAGTTTTCTCAGACAAAAATGACAGTCAAGGCACCCATTTCAAACTGAGGTTTACAACCCCTTACCACAGTTAGTGCCAGGGTGAAATTTGCCTTTAAAGTCTACATTTTAATGTATGTCTTTTTTGGAATTTTCCCTGTCATTTGCCTTCCTTCCAATGAAAGTGGGAACCATTTCCACACAAAAGGGCTTGTCGAAGTCCATTGATCATTTTTCTACCCAAAAGTAAATGATCAATGTGCTCTAACTGCAATGTCATTGCCATTTATTTACAAGCCTGCTTTGGTACAGCCAGTGTGTAAGAATGGAGCCATATTATTCTTTGTATAATGACTCTAGCTACCAAAATCCTAGCCCATGAGGTGATATGGGACCTCTTTTCTAGTAGTCCTGCTGTTTTTTAGTCTCATTAAGTTCTTGCAACCTGTGGCATTTTTTAAAATTCTGGACAGTGAGATAATGGGAGTCCATTCCAGAGCTTACTGCTCCTAAGATGGCACAATGATGGGAGCACATACAAACCAGCAGGCTAAGGCTGAGCAGATAAATCTGTAGGGAGTTGTTCCAATATTTATTATGTTTTCTTTCTTCTTACCTGCAGTCTAAATCCACTGTTTGTTTGTTGGTCTTAAATTTTTAATCTTTTTCTTTTATCCCTTCACAAACACATGGGTCAGTGTTATATCTTCCACTTAAATAATTTCATGGCAGACAAATTTAATTGAGTAAACTGACTCCTCGCAAATCCCACATTAATCCTTGCTGCTTTCATCATCACACCTCCAGCCCGTCCGTAACTGGTTGCAAATGTAGGACCTGAAGCTGAATGTGGCATGCAGCATCCATGTGGTGGGGAGCAGTGGAACTCGCTTGAGCCAGGCTGGTTGTGCTGAAGCTCAGAACCTTCGCTGCCTGTGTGGGTGGCCGATGGCATTTCAGATCCGTAGCTCTTGGCCTGGTGACCGACAGCCACCTCCAGGTCCCTTCCTGCTCCGCTCCTGGACATGGAAGGCCGCCCACCCAAACCGTCTTTCCTCAGCCACAGCAGCACGCATCTTTCCAAGCCGAGCTTTGCTTCCAACATCTCTCCTCCCCCTGCCCTCGCAGTCCCTGTGCTGAATTTCTCTGCTGTCCCCGTTTCTGCCATGCCCTTGCTCCGGTGAGTGTGCCAGCGCAGCGGCTCCGGCGGGCCGGGCGCTGCCTCCCGGGCCAGGCGCGGCGGCCGCGGCGCGCTCCTCGGTCCCGCTGCTGCCCCGCTTTCTGCCGCGCTCTGCTGGCTGGAGGCGCCTCTCCAAAAGAGAGAGCCCAAGGCGACCGTGCTGCTGGAATGGGTGCCTCTGGTAAGCGCCTGAAGCCGAGTGAGCCGAATCCCACCTAGCTGCAGCACACAGAGCTTTTTTAAGAGCGTTTTGCTGTTACACTATTAGAGTGTGGTGAAGACTTTATCTGTGCCACTTTTAAAACTTAATGAGTCTGTTCTCTCTTCCCCTCCAGGCACATGCTTTCCTCTCCCTCTAGAACTTTTCATTAGCAAAAAAATTGTTTATGGCTGTTTTATTTCAACGTGCCTTAATATTCTCTGTCCAAGAAAAATTCGTCAGCATGATTTAGTGTGACTGTAACTACTTTAACACCTTTTGCTGAATTCCCTACGCGCTGAGACACCCTTTCAGGGTTGTTCCTCAACCCCTGCATGTTGGGTGTCTCTGTAGCCCCAGCTGTGGATGGGCAGAACTTGCTGTCCGACCCACCCAGCTGTGCAATCCTGCCACCCATCCACTGTGGGCAGCAGGGATGGCAGAGTGGTGCTCTACACTGCCCGAAGGCTTAGGATCTTTGCCTGGCATGCCTGCAAAATTACTTGGCTTCCATGGCAGCTGGGGAGCTCCAGGTGTTTCCTGGATCTCTGATGAAGGGGTTAAGTGAGAGCAGAGGGAGAGGAAGGGCTTGTGTATATTTTCTCACTGGCTGTAATTTTCTTCAGCAGAGGGAGTGAGTTTTTAATTTTGAGAAACTGTGTTTATTAATTTTGTCAGAATTATTTTCTTAGGCTATGAGGTTGTTAACAGGTATTCCCTATTTTGTTTACTGTTCAGAGTCTAACAAAGCCTTGTTATCACAGAACCCACTTAGAGAAAATCAGTGTACCTAACTCTAAACCAGTCCTCATGGAGAGAAAGAATTTCATGTGTCTTGAATGAAGTTATTAGAGGTTTGGCTCCCAGTAAGTGAAAGGTGGGCAGGAGCAAGTGCCTTCATTTCCAGAAATCCTATTACTGGAGTGAGAATCAAGGGAAATCTCCTTGTCCTCCTCCATCAAATACGTGGAAGCACAGATTACATTGCATGTGTTCCTGACCTACACAAATGTGTAGCCAAACAGAATTGGGCTGAGAATACATTTCTGGAAAAGACTAATTTCTCTCTTTCCATTTTAGCTAACAATCAGCATTACTCTGGCAAGTTGGGGATTAGTTTGTCACTACACAGTGGGAGAAATTCTGAGTGTCGAGAAGGCACCTTAAAATATTGGAGTAGAAAGATACTAGCAAAACTGAGCAGCTAATTGCACTTTATGGAGTTTATTGTGCCTTCAAATAGTCATGTGTTACTGCCAATAAAAATAATGGGAATTAAGTGCATACACTGATGAAAGAATATACATGAATGGTTTATATTTCAATCTATTGAAATTACAGAACTCTAATTTTTCTCATTGTTTTAAAATAGGCACTATAACGATAAGAATTTTTTAATATTAATACTGTGAGCACATCTGTGAATTTTATTATCAAGCAAATTACCATGGAGAATGACAGCTTTTGCGCTTTAGTAACTGGCAATGTTCTACTTTATTTTTTTGCTTTAAAGATACAATAAAATTGTAATTAACAATGTTTAACTGACCTAAACATCAGTGTAAAATGTGTACTGTTCAATAAAAATGTGGTAAACTTGCTGGTGTATAAAAGCCTTTTTAAAGCCCTGAAATTCTATTTGAAGGAAATTTTGTGAGTATGCTTTTTTTAGAAAGTATTTGAAAGATATAACAGTTAAGAGTGTATGCAGGATGAAATATTTCACACTCGTCTTTTCAAGAGGGAATGATGCTAATGTTTAATTGTTTCAAAGTCCAAAAGTTCTAGTTGATAAGATGATAACATTGCCTTTTTTTTCAGGTTGTTACAGGGTAGTTCAAAGCATTTTTTTCATGTATTATTTTTCTAAGTGAACCCAACTTTCCCCCCTCTGTCTTCACTTATATACTAACATAATTAACCAAAGAAAAAGTAGACCACATTCTATTTTGTAAAACATGCATAAAACAGAGTTGATAGTGGTGTTACAATGAACCTGAACTACATTTCATTACTCTTCAGAAGAAAATAAGCCAACTTGATTTCACCATATCACAGAGCTGGTAGAGCATGATTCTTATTTGTTTTACAATATTGTACAATATCAAAATATATAGTTACAATTCTGGGAAATTAATTTGGGGTGTTAAATTTTTGGTTAATATATGTTGCAGTGTAATGAAAAAGCTGGATTCATTGCAGCCACACAGTAAAACACTTTGTTTTTCTTTTAAGATTATTGTTTTCAATTAACAGAAAGAAAAGTAGTGCAGCTTTTCTTTTTGGTTCTAGTAAACTACAGTACTCTTTCCATTTCTTTGGCTCATTCTGTTCAAGATGAGAGAAATGTGGGAGAAGTTAAGATAGATCATTACCAGGGTAATGATTGTTTATTCCCATCTATTCATCTCCAAGTTTAAACCAGCTGGTTTAAACCTAGAGATATATAGATGGGAATAATTGTCTCATTTGCAGTTTTCCATAGGTTTTGTCTTGTCTTTAAATTATTGTAGTTTTGTCTCACAGCATATTTCTTTTTTTGAACAGACTGTGCCTCTTTTGTTCTTCCCCCTCCTCCATCTTTCAGCTTTCAGATCACTCAATCCCTCTACTCCAACATGCCAGTGTTTAACGTCATCTCCTGACTTGTCAGAGGAACCATCCTTTCAACAGAAACTATGACCGAGGCCATAATTCAGTGCCAGTTTTTTTTGCCTGAGATAAACAGAGAAGGAAATTATTAAAAGCTGAAAATGTGTGGTTTTTAAACATGCTTTGATTACCAAGGTCATCTGCAGCCTTTGTGCTTTGTTTTATCATTTGGAGCCACCTGCCGGCAGAGAATATAATTCTAGCAAAAAGGAAAAGTTTATTTGCTGTTGGTGAGGCTGCTGTGACTGGTGAAAAAAAGCAAAAATATAACTTTTTTCATGACCCTATCATTCATCATAATTTTTTTTATTTCAATATGACTGTCTTCCCACCTAGGCATGGACCCAATATCTGTGCTGCTAGAAGACAATACTGGAAAAGAAGCTATGATCTGTGAGAGTAAAGTCTGTTCACACAGGTAAGTGAGAGCAGAGAGGTACTGAAGCTGAAAATCACCGTAGTGACACTGAGGATGTGAACATATGTGCACACAGACAAAAGTCCTTGAAAAAATGGTGGAAAGCAATGAATGATTAGTGGACTAGGAGAGTAGTCCTATTTAAATAAGTAAGTTGGCATACCCAGCATGTCTGATAGAAAACAGTAAAAAAATTTTAAGACATGAAAAAGGAGAGAAAGGACAGTAGAGTAAACTGACTTTGCCCTCACTTGAATGAGTGAGATCTGTTTTTTTACTTGCTCCAAGCATGAGATAAAGATGTGTCCCAGTTACCTCCAAATGTCAGCTGGGGGTCTCAGCAGGACTTGAATTCAGTTCCCACATTTAATTGTGATGATACTGGCATGGATTTAAAATTGCTAGAACCTTAGAAGTTACAAACAGCTTTCCACATTTACAACTATTTTAATTTTGTTTTGACCTCCCATGTTGTTCAGTGTCCCCTTAACAATCTTGACTGCAGGTATGTAAGTTAAATAACATTAGTTCTAATCAGGAGACATACCACTTCAGTGAATATATCATTAGGAATAAAATTATTTCCTATCCATGAACTTAAGTGTTTATTCATCATATTTTCTAAGAACTTCCCGCAGTCTCATTAGGTTTGCTGAGTGGCAGTGCATCAAGTGCCTTCCTAAAGTACATTTGCATTATCTACTATGTTTCTTTTCAATGAGTCTCTTGGTAAGTCCAACTAAAAGAGCCATTTAAAGATTTATGTCTTCCTTTCACTAAGGTATACTAATTCTTTGTAACCCTCTATGTTTGCTTCTCTGAGTAACACATAAACAAACCAGCAGAAGACCTGGCAATTTCCCCATGGAGCCATGCAGAAAATTATTTTCTCCTTCTTTTCTACTAGCTATTCAGATGATAAAGAGGATCTTTTCCTCAGAAGTGTATTTTCCTCAGGTAGTGGAATCCACCTAAGAGTCATTTGTTTAAACCATCTGTCCCACTTCCCTTGGTGTTGACTCATCCCTAGCCTCCCCATGGTAAGCCCATCTATTACAGGCTATAAAACAGCCTGAGTTATCTTTCTCCCTGTGTGCATAAAAGTTGTTGCCATACTGTTTATTGTAGCTTCTCTTTCATGTAACTGACTGCGTCATTTTTATTGTATCAAATCGGAAGTTTTCGTGGGAAACTTCTTAGAGTTTTTATGAAGGAAGGAAAGAACAGAATGAATGAGAATGGCATTGTGAAAGCAAATTACAAGGAGTGGACTGTGACTTGCAAATAAATAAGACAGAAAGTAAGGCAGGATGTGTGAACAACATTGATGAGACTCTGAAAATGCTCAGAGACCCAGTAGCCATTGATGCCAGTTTCCAGTGTTTCAGCAGAGGAGACTTCAGGGCTAAAAATAATGAGAAAAGCAGTGTTTTGCAAGAGGACAGGAGGTGATCTGCGGTCAGGGGTTGTTGCAACAAGGGGTCTTTTCTGCAACATGCCTAAGGTGAGCAGTGGGATCAAAAGTCTTAGTTTAAAAGGCTTTTATTCAAAATAAATGCCTAGTGAATGTATTTTCTATTTTTTAGATCTGTGCTCTGATGCTGTTATTTCATCCAGTTCTGTTGGCTTACTCTGAATTTAGACTGAGATAACTGAGAAAAGTACATGATGTAGAATCTGTAAGCAGTCATATGAGGAAGTTTAATTTCACAGCAGCTGCGGAAGTTTAATGAGCCCAAATTTCCCTTCTGAAGCAATTCATCAGCGTTAGCCTTCATCCCAGCAGGGACTGTCCATCAGCATGTGCTGCCCACATCAGAGGGAGGTGGCTTTCTGGTACTATGTCTACCAGTGACATAAATTATTAACGTAGAAGCTAATGTTGATAGGATTGATATTCTAGAAGACCCTAAATACTCAAGGTTGCTGCTTTACTGAAATAAGCAGGGACACAACCTCCTCTTTGATAGGTTGCAATATCAAAGAGATCAAGGGAAGTGTAGCAGTGGTAGAAGACAAAGGTGTAGTTAAGAGCAAGGTGAACTGAGCCCATTGTATTATATCCCATGGGATCAATATTCAGACTTCATCTGTCCTTGATTCTTGTTCTGTAAATTACCCTGCTAGAGGAACTAGTTGTAACGCACTGAAGCTAAATGACATAATAGAAAGATGAGTGGGAAACTCAAGGCAAACAGCAAGTGAAATCAGAGAGAAATAGGCTCTCCTTTATAAATTGCCTGACATGTGCCAAATGAAATGTAATGCTGACAGATGTAAAGTTATACTCCACAAAAATAAACACAAGCAGAAAACAAGTAGAATTGAGCTACAACAGAATGACTTTGACTGAGACCTTGAAGAGATGATGGTACTTGCTCAGAAAATGGTCTGACAATAAGGGAAAGCAATTTGAAAACCCGTGTTTTGGAATACAAAAGCTACACAGTGGAATTTGATGGAATACCAAGAATGGTGTGAGTCTCTAACTCAGCCACGGTGACTCAAAACAATAAGCGTATAAAAAGAGGGCAAAACTTTCTTCCTGATTTATACAGTATTAATTTCCAACAGGCTGCCAGAGGAAATTGGCTCAGGAGAGATTTTAAACACCCCTCGAACCTCTGTGAAGGTGGAAAAAAATATTGGAGGAATTTGTTTCACCTGCACTGTTATCATGGAAGATTCATTTGTTCTTGTTAACAGGCTTCTCCCTAGCTCGGTTCAGACTGTGAAATCTCATGTGGACCCTCACCTTTTGGTCTCTTTCTTGACACGGTGCCTGTATGTCATACTCATACCAGAAGACCATTCCAGTTCTAGGGCATCACTGGCTAGATGCAGCTGTGGTTGACACCTGTCCACTCTGAGTGGGGAGAGGGATGCAGAGCTGCACCATAATTCAGAACAAGCACCAAAGAGATACCAGATCCATGTAGGATTATAAAATCTCCTTGGTTTCAGTTCTGTTGGCTTTGTACCTGTGAAATTCAGTGGAACCCGACAGAGCAGTTTGTAAAGCGAAGCCAATTTCCTCTCAGTACTGAGGCTTAGCACCTTTTGCTGCTAGTAGCTGTTTTCGTGTTTCCCAAAGCAGATGTTTCCATGCAGATCAACTCCTTTGCCCTTTGGGCAGGGATCAAGGTGAGCATAGGAACACAACTACTTCACTTTCCTTGCTACAGGAATCCTTCCTAGATCATCATAAGAAGTCACATTCCTCTTACGTTTAAAGTTAGGTATCAGTCAAATCTCTTTATGCAGTCAGGAGAGAGTTGAAGTTTCTCACAGTGAGAGCCATTCCATCCTCGGGTCTAATATAGATGGGAACTACTTACTTCTTTCCATTATCTGTGAGTGAAACCCAGACAACTGATTTAAACTAGATGTCTGGATTTTGGAAGATTGACATTAAGTTTACTCAGGGCTGAGGAATCTAATGTCAAACAGCATCCATTTTCAGTGGCCTTTTTGGATTGAGAGAGATGATTTCAAAGTCCCTCTAGGAAAGATTATATGCAGGTAAAGAAGGCAATTCTATTGCCAGCTTGCATAACTCACTAGACATTTTACAAGTAATGGAAATCATCTTTAGAGAGATACTTGGCCTCTGTTAGTGGAGCCATGTTTTAATGTGAAATGTCTGTAATAACATGAATTAAATTAGAGAAGTAACATTATTGTACCTGACTGAATCATTAAAAATTACACACAGCAAAGCAATCTTAAATTGAACTCAGATCATTGCTCTCTGTTTTTAGCCAAAAGTACAGACCAGAGTGTGACTATTTCATAATACTTTTTTTTGTAATATTGTTATTGGTATATTGATATATGGGCAACCACTTATTGTACTTCAGAGTCAGTGTCTTCAATGTTATGATTAACCCTTTATTCCACAGTAATTTTCCATACTAAACTAAATTAAATCTTGTGAAAGTCAACTTCAAGAGGAAAGGAGTAAACTTTGAGGAAGTGGGGAGTTAGTCATGCAGAGCTTCACATCACACATTCATCAGTCAATATGGATTCTGTACTTTATATTGAAGGAAGCAGAATAAACATCTTCACAATTTGACTTCTGTTTTGCAAATTAATGTTTGGGCAATAAAATTTGAACTTCCTATTTTTTTGTAATAGGGTGAAAACATATGACTGTGGAGAAAGAATTGCTGGCTGGCTCTCTACGTTTCTTGGTCGTCCATGTCACTTGATAAGACAAAGTTCAGACATGAGAAGCAAGTCGCATCAGAAAAATACAAAAGGTATGTTGTCGTTCTTAAAAATATTTGTGATTCTTCATGCACAAATCAGGCTTATGGACTTCACACTTAGTATGTATAAGTACCCTGATAAAGGCTGAAAGAGTTATCCAGTATAGATCTAGTCATTATGTTTATACCAAAACTGACTTTTTGCTGCCCTTCTACTTGTTAAATTTGGTGAAAATGTACAGATGCACCAGTATGGGGGGGAGGTTATTACCATCATGACCATGATTTTGTCTGGAAACTCAAAGAGACCATTTAGAAAAATGGTCATGAAGAATCAAAGAATTTATTCAGAGACCAAATTTCATTACAAAAATAATTGAAAGAGTATTGAAAATGCACAGATATTGCTCTTGTAAACTATTTTACAAATTTGGCAAAATCTCATCTCTGAGTTTCTAACTGCATTTCATCATAACCATTTGCAGATTTGAGGGCATCCTTGGAATATATCCTTATTGCCTGGAACCAAATGATTAAACTATTAGTGAGAATGAGTAAAAGGTCAAAGGAAAGATGAGGTGAAATTACTAATTTTTATGATCATTTTAGAATGTTGGATTGATTTTATTTTTTTTTTTTTTTTAGGTCTATCGTCTGCTACAAACATCTCACTCTCTCTTGTGAATGAAGCACAATACCTCCTGATAAATGTAGCAAGCATTCTGCAGCTGAAAGAGCACATTTCTGCAAGGTAAGATGCTTCTGTCTCCAAACATCTCTTGGTGATTTTGGATTCCAGAATCTTGCCATAAGATGCCAATATAGGTGTTTTATGTGAAAATTTAGAGATAGTTACTTTTCAACATTCAAAAATATATAGCTATTAAACTACTATAATTACTAATTATTTTATGATTTCTGAAAATTTGGATTAAACACATGAGCATCATCTGCCTACCAGTCATCTTTAGAAAATTTAAATGAAATTTTTTTCAAATTATTTGGTGGAAAGATATTGAGAACCAGCCAACTTCCATTTGTCAGAAGAACAAGGATAAAGAGGTTTTCTTGACATAAATTGTCTGGCAGGTAAAATATAAAGTCTGGCTCTGAACTATTTCTCTCCCATGGGAATTATTAAGATTTAGAATAACTATGCACAAGAGAAATACTTTGAAAGTATTTTCAGGACTGGAATAATTTTATTTCTTAATTTAATTTGGCTTTACTTATACAAAAGTGAGAGTTAGAAGCAGCAAATAAAACACTGAGTCAGTCCATAGTTCAAAGACAACAAATCCATTACCAAACAAATTTTCATATACTGACTACAGGAAATTTTTGTTTCTTGAATATAACTAGGAAAGGTTCAAATTCCACAAAAAATCTTCCTTCAAGTCTTCCATTATGTCTGTGCATCCCACACCTTCAGCATTTGTATCTGGGCCCTCTCTTCCTGTCTCTTAAAACTTCTCTCTTGCTTCTTCCTGAAGTCATCTTCTCTTCTCTTAGTCACCCACCAAATATATCCTCTGCATTGAAAATTACTGCTTTGAGTAGAGGAAAATATATGTATCTATATATCTGCAGGAGGATATGTATATATCTTCAGGATTTAAACCACTGACTGAATGAAGCATCACCAAGACCACTGGAGCTTGCATTGTCTGAGGGTTTTCCTTCTTCAGGAGAAGACAGTTGGGCAATTTTAGAATATCATTGGAAATATGTGTGGAAAAGGTTTGAAGCAGTCCATCTCTCAGTGTTGTGACAATTTATGTCTTCTTGTGAGGCTTGACTGGCTGGGTTACATCTCCTTGGGATGGCACTTCTTGCAGACATCCCTTATTCAGGATGGGCTTTTTCCATTATAAGACACAGTGTGGAACTTTCCAGATACAGGGATTTGAGTGCAAAGATGAAGAGTAAGAAGCAGCAAGTGAGGACAAAGGAGAACAAGGAACTTGAGCAAAACATTCAGTGCCAGATGATACATTGATTTTACGCCTAATATCTTCCAGTACAACTAGGCTTGTAATCTCCTTTTCCTCAAAGGAAACTCCAAATGTGACCAGAGCTGTAATGGTGACTGAGAAGCATCTGGCTTTCCATTCTGCAGTGTGAGTTGGAAGTGTTCTCCCTTCCATGCATTTTGTCATGCAGTGCCTTCTCTGGGTGCTGGAGAAATAAATTCAGATATACAGCATCCTCATTCTGCACTGTTACTAAATAATGGTATATGAACTTTCCAAATATTAAACTACCCAATGTACATTTAAGAACTGCACTTATGGCTCTTTATTAAATATTGGAGGGTTTTTAGAAACTATTATTCAGTTTCTTGGCATTTGGGTTTTGTTTTGCTTAAATGAAACACAATTTCAATTTTCAATTAAGTTTTTATAATTTCTCTTAGTATCTTCCATAAGTAAAAACTAGTCTTCCAGTTTTCACTTAGCTCTTGAGAGGTGATCTAAAACAGAAACAGCAATTCAATTAAAAATTAGAATCCAGCATACTGTTGGAGGGCTACATGTACCTGCAGACATTTGTCTGTCTCATGTTTTCATTGCAGGTCACCTCCATGCAAATCCCTATGGCCTGGCCTAATGCTTGAGGTTATAGTTTCTTGTTGAAACTATAACCCTGAGGATAAAAATATTAATTTTCAAGTTTGCCTATTAAATATAGGTAATGCATTCTTCATTGCAGCGCTCACTGATGTGAAAATCCAAAGCTCCTAAGCTGACTTTGGCACATTACGCTGATTTTCAAAACAGGTCCATGTTGGGATTTTCAGGATGAAGGTACCTGCCACTCCATCCAACCAAGGCATTTTGTCAGAGAAGAAATAATGGAAATTTACTCAGATGCATGTGCCAAGTAGTTATAAGCATTTCTGAGGGCTGGGGGAGGTACAAGAGAGGTGAGGTATTCTGGGTGTGAGCCCGAGCAGGTTGAAGGCAGTGAGATCAGGGGTAGGGGCATTGCAGTCTGAGTTCAGCAGCAAGGGGTTGATTAGTAGAAGCTTGAAGGTTTTTTCAGCAGCTGTCTTCAGGACACTGCAGGCCCAGTTCTGAGGTTACTGGGCTTTTGATGCTCCCAGTGCAGGCTGGGTGGCAGGCACTTAGATTTTGCAAAACACAGTCAAAACTAGAGGCTCCACAGCAACCAAACTCCAAGAGCCCACAGCAAAGCTGGGAAGCACAGCAGCATAATTGAATGTGTTCACAAGTAACTGCTATTTTCCTTCTTGTTTGTATGAGCACTGGCATAATCTGCTTCCTCTTGGCTCCCACCTCCTGCATTCATTACAAATCGTGTCTCAGCCATGGGATTACCTGTGGGATCTTGAGGGAAACCTGTAGTCTTGCAGCTTCCCATCCCACCTTCTACCCCCAGGCTGCTGGAGCCCTTGTGAACACTGGGGCTTGGTGGAGCTGGGCTTCTGTGGTCTGACTGAAAGTCTGCACAGGCAGTTTATCCTCATGCAGTTTTGTCTGCTAGAGAAGATCATCCAGACTGTTTAAAACAAAACCAAGCTCTTTTTTTTCACGGAACAGGCCACCTCTGCCAAGACTGCTTGATGTGAATTTTTCCCGATACTTTGATTTTTGCATGTTTTTTCTCTAAAATACATTTTAAACTGCCTGTCCATACTTTCTTCTTAATTTTTTCTTCTTTTGGGTCAGAAATGCCTCTCTTCACTGCTTAGCCACGTTTCTGCCTCTGCTGTAGGATGTCATATCCCTAAGTTGTCAGTACAGTTTATGGAGTATCAAAAATGGTTCATGCCTTAACAGCTAATGCAAAAAGAAGTGTTCTTCTCCACTAACTGTGGCACTGAGAGAACCCTCTGGCAAATTTTACAGTGTCTTTTTTTTTTTTCTTTTTTTCTGGTACTGTTCAAGTTCCCCTTTAGAAGAAGAGTGAAGAATGGCAATTCGAAGATGCAGCAAAATTTCTGATATTTGTATGCAGTCTGATGCTCTTTCTGTCTCATATACATTCTCCACAATGACACAAATCTACACTCTGGCAGCTCAAATGCTTGTAAAGACGGGGAGATATCACCACACTGAGATTAGTTTTTTTTCAAAACACCTATCGTTTGGTGCAATCTGCTGCCTCCCAAAGGCAAATAATAATAATATGAGGGATATATTCTCTCATAAAATTATTTTACTGGCCTTTTTCACCTTCAGCAACTGCTGGTTTTGTCCCTTCTGACATTGCAGCATGTGCAGAATAAAATTTTATTTGCCTTTGGTTCCAGGAGCTTCTATTTTTACAATATTTAACAAGTCAAATGATTACTAAGTGAAAAGATCTTTTTACTTGTTTACCATTAGCCTTACATAAGATAACAAACTGGAAATTTTGTCATATGTGTGGGTCACAATTATTTTTTCTTTTGCTCTGTCAACCCTGTGAGACAGATTGAAGGAGCCATTGGAAATAGAGGAATTGATCCGACGTTTCCGTGCCAACATTGTCATCAGTGCACCAGAGTCCTTTGAAGAAGAAGAGTGGGCTGAGATTTCAATAGGTGCTCTGCAATTCCAGGTGTGACCTTCTCTCTCCTGTCCACACCCCAGTGTATCACAAAGCATTTTGATTCCTGGAGATAAACCAATTTTTGCAAGGCTTTGACTGGAATATGGGTAGCACACTTTGTGCAGGTGAAATTTATGAAGTGTGTATAAAAAAAAAGACGTGATGTGTCCCGTGACAAACATACTTCAATATATTTAAGAGGTTTTGCCAAATTTTTCAACACTTTTATTGAATTTCATAATTCATACTGTTTCTTATCTTTATCTATCTGAACCAAATAATAATCAGGTTTTTTGAGGTAGAGTTTACAGTACATATTTAGCCAGTACATCAGCAGAGAATACTTGTTACTGTTAAGCACAGTAGTCCAAATGTGACCTCACATTACTGGTCAAATCAAGCAACTGATGGCCAAAAGACTGGATATGATCACAAGTGAACACCCACGGTCTATTGCCCTCTGTTGTTTGCATCTTATCCTAGTCTTCATTCAAGGAATTTTTCTAATTCTAGCCCGGTAGGGTTTTTTGGTATGTTGTGCTTTGTGTCATAGCTAACAACATAATGTCCTATGTACAGTAAGGAAAATGGTGAAGAGTCAGACCTTGTTTGTAAATACATTCTTTCAAGAAAACCTCTCAACAAAGAATCTGTGAAAGCTGCATGACACCTAAGAGAATGATGAACACATGTATTAAATATTCTGCTGAATTTGTCTGGCCAAGAGATATGAAATATATACTGGAAGATGCTTTGCCTAGGATGTGAAAGTGGCTTATCCATTGTTAGAGATTATAATTTAAGTGTGAATGACAGGAGTACCAAGGTCAAATCTAGGAGATACGATAGGCAGCATTTTTTTTTTTTTCTGGTCAGCATTCTGCAAGACACTTTTTCAGCAAGGGTGGAAAATGTTGGTTATCTACTCTCTTCTTATGTATACTTTGATCAGTAAGCTGCAATATGAGTTATAGAAAATTGAGGAAAAATTCCTATAAGTAAGAAATGAGGAAGCCAAAGGACAAAATCCATGGTGTATAGCTTGTTGGAGGCTGGAGTTACACTGGGGAGTTCAGCTGAGGATCTTGTTGATAAGTTACTGTAAAACTACAAAATAAAAGCCTTTCCTATTTTTGGCATTGGTATACTTTACAAAAGTATACAAGGCAAAAATAGCAAAGCTTATGTAACTTTCATTGTCTTTTCCCATCTCTGCTAGGTCCTCTTTCAGATACCGATGTAGTATGCCACAAAAATGGTAGAAGCTGTTGAAGTAAAGCAGGGAAAAAAATTCCTTCTCTGTCTTGTTGTTCTTTAAATTTAAAAAAACAGAGCTGTGAAAAATAATTTTCTAAAAAAGCTGATGTTTGATGCTGCTGATTATGCTGAAGAGTTATACAAGCAGTCTAGATGCATCTCAAAAACCTGAAATATCACTTCAGCACATAAAATGTTTGAAGTGTAGGGTTTAATTATTTGCCCTATTTGAAATTTGTGGCATATTTTGCAAAAGTAGAATGTGTATACTGGGATACTGTAAGATATAATTTCTGCAATGTATAACTTTGCTAAAGTTAGGGATGCAGTGTTAAGTGAAAGTGCAATATGTCATCCTTCTCCATTTTAAAGCTCTAAGAAGAAATTTATTGCAGTGTTGGCTTGGTTTTTTTCCCTAAAAACATATTTTAGTTCAAACAACAATTAGCTTTAAAAACAACTGCATATGATGTTAACATCATGTGTAATAGATGATAGAGGATTAATTATTTCTTCTGATTAGGTAAACTTGTATATTTAAATATTTTACATTCTGAGTATCTAAAAGTACCATGCATATAAGAAATATATTGTGCATTTCAGCTGCCCTAAAACCTAAGAAAAACCTCCTTGGGTTGAATCCTGAGGCATTGGTTTAATTTTGTATTCAGTTCTTTGGGCAAGCAGCCCTGCTAACCCACAGAAGAAGTGAAGCCATCAGGAAATACAAATATGTAAATGTCAAGTATTTCTCAGATTCTGTCTCTGAGAAAGTTTTCCTTGAAAAAAATAAAAATTGAATTAAAAATTCAGTGAGATTTTTGCAAATAGACCTACTACATTAGGTGAACAGACTTGACCTTTTACATAATGAAAAACCACAGAAAAGGTATGCAAAATATATGTGTTTAATATATTATGATGGTTGGAAGCTTGTACTGTTCGATACTGTACTGCTTTGATAAACAGCCATGAACTTTCTTTAACTAAAATTTCAGGTTGTGGGTCCATGTAGCAGATGTCAAATAATCTGCATTGATCAACAGTCTGGGGAACGAAACAAAGAAATTCTGCAGTCCCTGTCTGCTGCCAGAGGTAGAAAGGTCAGTACAGTACTTCAAAATAGCTGTAATGAAAGATATAGTGACTTTATTGCATGAGTAGTGAAATATCTGCTGAGCGAATATTCACACTTAAGTTGTTACTATTTGGATTTTTTTTCTGCACAAAGAGGATGCACTTACAACCCAGATATGGCATGGTTTATTTCTATAAAATGCTCAATACATTTTTTATTCAGAAATGGACTATTACTATGCATTATTTTTAACTGTGCTTGCTTTTATCCTGTATGTACTTAGTGTGTTTATTTTAATCTTAAAAGCACAAGCTGATGCACTGATGTCTTTTAAGAACAGAAATATGCTGAAAAATCAGAAAGTGTTTGAAATTATACAGTTGGCATGTAATACTAAACTTTATTCTTACCCTGAGAAATTAGTTAGGAGGAAAAACAGAGCAGATGTGAATATAGCCAAAGTGGAGAGTAATTACTTAGGAAAGTGACCAGAAAGTAAGTGTGAAATACAGGTGTTTATTTGGGGTCCTGCTTCCTAAGGTTGCATTGCTTCTTGGAACTGGGAGCGCTCAGATGATGGCTAGACAGTTCGGCATCCCAAAAACCTCACAGATCTTCTCATATGTATTTATTTAGCAGAAAACCCTTATTCAAAATTCATTGCTTCCTGTTGGTTGAGCTCCTGTTGTTAAAGTGTCTCAGGCAGTCGGGGCTCGGGAGCCTTGCCAGTACCTGCCAAACAGCAGAGCTGGGGCACAGCACCAGCACAGAGCAACAACAAATAGGCTGAAAATCATTCAACCAGACAATGCACAAACAAGTTTACAAATACTGCATTCAGTGTTTGGACAAAAAAAAAAAAAGATTCATCTCAATGATTCATTAAGCAAACAAAGGGCTTTCTTTTCGCTGGCGCTTGTCCTCGGTGAGTAGCTCCAGTGGCTCCGTGTGGGAGCCAGCCCTCAGGTGCAGTGAGCTGGGGAGAGGCGCAGGCAGGGCCGGCTGTCGAGCACAGCTCCCCGCTGGCCTGAGGTGACAGGCTGGCACAGCAGGCTCTGCTCCAGGTCACCACAGTACGGGAGCCTCTGTGAGATGGGCTCCTGGCCACCGTGGGTGCCTGAGGACAGGGCTCCTTTCCCAGTAATGTCAACAACAGCTGCAGCATCTGGGACACTTCAGAGCACATCTGGACACTCGGGACAGGGATGCTCCCTGCTGCCACATGAGGCAGAGGGCTTTTGGGCTTTTTCTGTCCATATTGGTTTTACTGGATTATGACTTGAAACCTCTGTGGAGAGAAAGCACTCTATACTCGGCGAGAAAATGGCAACAAAACCTTACTCAGGATGCAGATTCTCAGGAGAGGCAAAGCACCTTCTGCACGTTTCCCACAGCAAAGACGAGCTCCTCTCTCATTCTGATTAACTCGACAATGAAGAGATTTTCTCGATGCACAGCTAGAACCAAGTGGCTCATTCAGATAGGACTGGGGCAAAGTGAGCCATCCGCCTCTGCAGAAGGAGCTGGCCCCCGCGGGGGAGTGCTCTCCCTGCTGCTGCCGCGCTGATGCTCACGCTGCAGACACGGCCACTCAGCCTTTGTGCTTCCCCAGCCTTCAGCGCTGCTGGCAGATGGGGTCTCGTGAGCATGCCCTGCTCTGGCTTAGCTGACCATTGAAAGGAAGAGTTGGAACTGGTAGCTTTGCCTGGTCTGGTCTGAGAAGACCTCCGAGCCCATTCCTCCTGCAGGTTGCCCCTGTGGTGGTGGGCACCATCTGGTTATCAGCGAGCATCACCCAGGAAGGACTATGGCATTTTAGTGTGCTCAGCAGACCTAACCGAGGAGTCTGATCCAAGCCCTTCACAGCTCACAGCGGGGAGAGAGAAGGAACATCGAGTTCATGTGACTGTGTTAAATCGCAGAGCCAATCCTTTGGTGGCTCATATCTCTACCATTTGCTTTTCTGCTAAGGAGCTATCTAATAGACTTAATTTTTAATTTTCTTTTTTGTTTTTATCAGATGCAGATTCATTGAAGGAATTCAGCAGTGTTTGCTCTCATCTGTCAATAATCTGATTCAAACTAAAAAAATAAAAAAAAAAAAAAAAAAAAAAAAAAAAAAAAAAAAAAAAAAAAAAAAAAAAAAAAACCAAAAAAAACTATTGCAGAAAAATAAGATTTAAGATAATTTCCCAGGTTTTTGGAAAGCTGCTGTAACAACCTGATTGACAAAACATTAAAGATACTGCAGATAGAAAAGAGACACAGATGTCAATATTTACCGTTTAATTTTGGTTCTTTTCCAAGAACACAAATCTGAAAAAATTACATTGAAATTTATCAAACAAGTGGCCCAAATAGCAGCACTGCCAATGAACTTCAATAATAAGCTAAATAATGTAACGTTTGTAGGAGGTAGTTCAATATTTATTTCTAAAATCCTGTTTTTCTCCATTCCTCTGAAAACCTGGTGCTTCAAAATGAAGGATGGAGCCTTTGCATAGATGGATTGCAGCTGAAAGTCGGAACCAGCTACTGTAACTAGCCACCCAAGCAATTTACATCTTTCCAGATAAATGTAAAGCATGTTGTTGAAGCCTTGCCAGCTACTTTTTATGAAACCTTTTATGTCATTGTTTGACACAAAATGTAAACACCTTTATAAAGTGAACTTGAGCTTTCTGAAGAAACGCTCATAAAGGATTCCTTCTGTAATTTTTGACTGGAAATGAAAGATGAGCTCTCCTCGTGTGACAGAGTGCTCTCTGTTACTGCAGGAGATTAGGAAAGACTAGATAACTCCATTAAGCAAATGGCCACATGCTGTTTCACATGCCTCACCACCTGACACAAAACACACATGGATGGCAAAGGGAGAACACAGCATTCCTGCCTCTCTTTGGTGTTTTGCAGATGCCGTTTAGTGCTAATGATAGCGGAAGCCCTGTGGGTAGATTTGCAGCAGTGCTATGAGCTGGGACTTGCTGGCAAGGTAGCAAAGGGAATTATTGCATTAGCAGTCTGCCCGGGTCTAAATGTATGGATAGCACTACATCAAGGGAAATCCATTATGTTTGCACATGCCTTCATACACTAAAAAGCTTCTGTTTATTTCTGGGGCCTGTTGATCCTCCTTTATGAATCTTATTGTGCCTTGGGAGAGCTTCTTTTCCTGCAGAATTAGATGCCATGCCTTTGGATTGCTTACTAAAACATTAGCAAGGATACCAAATGACCTCTCTTATCCGATGCATCATTATCATTATTATCATAGTAATGCAGGGCTTTACACCATGCAATGCTTTTTATTCAAATATCTGGAACATTTGAGAATAGCGATTGTTGTAATTAATAGGCCTCTGAAACAATATGGTTCTCTTTTTCTCATTGGCAACTGAAGTGGAAAATGTATTTATTTAAGGCAGAGCAAAGGAAAATCAATTCTTAAGGGAACATTCTGCAGTCCAGATATTTTCAACAGAACAATATAGGAATTTATTTACACAACATTAAATTTTTTTTTTTCTTTTTGCAATATAGAAAATCAACATGTCAGAAGTGAGTACATCCTCTCTCCTATTTTTTTAAGGCTTTACATTCCAGTAAATCTAAACCTGATAAAACATTATTACATAAAAAAAAAATAATAATTGCATCTCCCAAATCTTTGGATGGGAGAGAGGTTATGTTATTGTATGAAGATATTATCAGATCTGGACAGATAAATTTATCTTCTGGGATATGGCAGCTGAGAGGCAAAATCCAGAACTCATCCATCCAAAGATAAGTATTAGCATGCAGTATGATTTTATGTGCTTGCACATTCTAGCAGGGTATTTCCCTATCAGGTTCTAGTCTGTGTTAACTGATTCTTTAGGAGTCATAGTTGAGGGCATCTCACCTCAGGGCTTTGTGAGATGTAGCCCCTCAGGTTTCTATCTTACCAAAGGAGATAGTACACACAGGGTATTTCTCTGTCAGTGAATTTCTAGGCAGAGCACATTACTGTTGTTTCAGTAAATGAACTTGAAACAACATGCAAAAATGACAGCATTTCATAGCTTCTCCTTTAAGTGAGTGTGATGACTATCATATGATTCACTGTTGGCAAGAATTTGTATGTTTTTTCTATTTCTCCCAGCAGTGAAGTGGCTTTTTCCTGATCAAGAAGCTTTAAATTTTTTGTTCCTGTAATATTTTACAGTGATGTAAAATGTCTCAGAGTCTTGACTGCCAGATAAAGCCATTGTGCTCACAGTCCTGCACTACCTGCCCAGTTCTTGGTGTGTCCTGGGAAGAATGTATGCGGAATAAAATGCCCTTGAAGTCAGGAAAAGGTAGCAGGCAGAGATTATGAGGTTCTGCGAGCTGTATTCTCTGCATCTGAAAGCCTCATTTTTCATCAGAAATGGGAGGATTTCTACATTTTACCTTTCTCTTAAAACAGAGCTGAAGTGGCAGATGCAGCTTTTATAGTTCCTTGGCAGGGGGGTGTGTGTGATTGCTATTATCATTACTTGCTGAATCATTATTTGTAATTATTGAAGAAAACAGAGAAATTTACTTAAAATATGTTAAATCTACTTCTGGCAATTAGAGGCTAAATTTTTTGTTTAAGAACACTCACCAAAAAAAGGTTTGTAATTCTGAACGGGCATTTGTACTAAAATAAAAGTATGTACACCATCAGTGTATCATCACCTTGGAAACTCCTTAGGCATTACTCATGGAAAAAAACACTGAGACTTTAGATGCCAAATCAGAGAAGGAAAATACTAAGGACCAGTATTAAAACAGTATTTGAGAACTCGTGAAGAAAATATGCATTTAGACATGCATTTTCTTAAATAATTCTGAATGGGCATTAAAAAAAATCCTGCTAAATTATTTTCAATAACAAAAATTGGCAAATTAAGTTCTTTCCAGTGAACAATTTGCCCAGATTTATTTTAGTCTAATTTTAAGATACATTAAAATGACAATACAGTAAATATAAATAAAAACTTCTCATGCATCAAATAAGCTGGTTTACATGAATGAGATAAAAAATTCCTTCCTGTGTGCAATGTGGTGTAGAATAAACTAATATTAATTTTACAATATTTGTTTTATAATGGCTTGATAAAAAAAAAATTAAAAAAAAATCATGGCAACTGTCATTTTTGCACTAGGAGGTGAATCCAGCTTATTAACCACGAGGCTGAAAAATACATTATTTATGCCAATAGAGAAACTTTTCAATGAAAGAGAGAAAAGCAAAAATGGAAAAATAGGACTATGTACTTAAATATTTTAAGTGAAACAGTTGCTGACACCATTACAGCACCACGGGTGGTCCAACAGTCATTGTGCATAATGACAACAGTCATTGTGGGCTGGGATCTTACAGTGCTGCAGTCATTCCTCAGCATTAATCTTAGAACACTGACCACAAGGATGTGCCCTGTGTTCACCAAGCGTTGACACCAATACAGCCACTGGTATCCAAAAAGTGCCAGCAGCAGGACAAGTCTGAGAGGTCTAGCTCGTGCCCTCTACATGTCACATGCCAGTGAGATGAAGGAATAGCAGAGGTAGCAAAAAATACCTAAGCTTAGGGCTCATTTTTCCCATTGATGCTTATGATTACAAATGAAGCAAAAAGACCCAAATTCAAGGTCTGAGGCCATGTTTGGATAGATCTCTGCTTTACAGCATCTCTTACTTGGGAGTACATCTCAAACTTACCTCTTATGAATTCTTCAAAGACTAAGAGCTGTTCTGTGTTACATCATTGTTTCATCTTTATTTAATTACCCAGTGCAAGAATAGGAGACAACATACTGCCTTCATATTTAGTCTGTGAAATATGCCTCCTTAAATTCATTTATTCTTTTTTTCTTTATTGCAATCCCTTTTACCTACTATTTTTTTAACCTGCTCTAAATGTAATTCACTCAATTTCAGGATCATTGGTCTGAACAATGGCACTAAATGTAATCAGGAAATAGAAAGGATAATAGAATTTTGTATTTGGTTTGCTTATTTATTTACTTTATAATGACTTGCACATTTTGACTGTAGTCTACCAAATCAAAAAACTTTTTTTAAAAACCTGCAAGAAGAGACAAGAAAATTAATATTGGGTTTCCAAGGTTCTTGGTTTAAAGAGCAAAGACTTTCTGAAGTCTAAAAATCTCTTATCAATTTAACATAGTATTCAGTGTTCCTTTTTTTTGCTACTTTACATGTTTTTTGATTATCTAATTCTTTGGAAAATACTGCCATGACATGACAAATCTTTTTCTTGCACGTTTCTAAATTCTCCATTGCTGGAAAACGAAACCACAGAACCACACCAGTCTCTTCCTGTGACATTTCCAGATCACACCCACAACTGTAACACTCTACTGCTTGAGATCAAGACCTCACATAACGCAGATACACAGATCAGATCTTTGGTGCCTGTGAGGGTTGCATGGTCAGTGGGCAAATTGGATATTCAATTTTTCTTTTCTGTACTACTCAATATCCCAATAATATATTCTAAGTATTTCTAACATTTATACAGGATGGATTCACAGATAATGACTCTTAACAAGTGGGAGCAACAATAAAACAAACTTTCTGAATATTTTCTGCAAAACATACTAGAATATGCATAGAAAACAAATGAAGGGAAACTCACAGAGGTTAGACAGAATAAAGTTCTGTTAACAAAGCGAATAACTCATGGTAGGAGATTTAAGACATCTTTACTGTTGGAACATACCAGTGTTCCATGCTGCAGAGCCTTTGTTTGTAACAATACATTAACTGTATTTGTCAAGGAGCCAGAGCAGACATTAAATAACAAGATTGTGAATTACATATACGATACTATGGAACTCATTATGAAATACTGTGTTATTTATGTACTTACGTAAGTTATTCTTCTTGAATAGCATGGCATTACCTTCTGTTTACCAGTCTATTATAATTAATGAGTTAAGAATGTTCTTAATTACATGGACATAGTACATACCTCTTTATTCTTAAAGCAATGTATTTCTTCTGAACATATCTGGGTTGTTAGATCCTCTATAGATTTGATTTCCATAATATGCCTTGCATCTTAATAAATATTTTGCTTCTTTTCAGACAAACTTTGGCATATACCTGATGAACCAGCCCTCATGCTCACCCTTTTCAGATACTTTATCAGTTGGGTCTCAAGTACTTCCAGTGCTGAAGGAGAATGCAGAAATTCAGTCTCCGACATCTAGTGAAGAAAAATGTTCAGGATAGATTCCATGGTGGAGATGAAATTTTTGTGCAACTACAGGGAAAAGTCAGTAGTCAGTTACTCAAAAAAAAAAAAAAAGAAAAAGCTTCCACTCATTTGCTTCTGGTAATTTTCTGTTTGTTGTAAATGTTATCAGATGGCAAAACTGTTGATAATTACAGCTCACCTACATGTTTTTGCTTGTGATTAGGTTGCAGCAGCCATAACTCTATTTTGCACAATTGCTTCAGGATGCAACAGGTTTGATCAAGTCTTACTGGTGGATGACTCCTAAAACAAGCCAAACTTTGTTGTCAGAAAACCACATCTCAATGAAGGAAAGTAAACACAACAATAAACTACTTCCTTCTACTGCTTTGTCAAAAGCCCAATTAGGAGAGAGGATGCAAGACATATTTAGAAAAAATGTGGGTGGGAAGAGGACAGTGGAAGAGTGGCATGAAAATAGCAGTGCATTCAGCTTTTCCAAAAGGAAACTCAAGGTGATATGTAGACAGTGTGAAAGCAATGGAAAAGGGGGAATTATTGGGAAATCTGTGTCTCCCCCTTTGGAAGTAGTATGTGAGGATTCCAACATGGCATAAACATAATGAAGATTCAGGATGCCGTTTGCAAAGCACATTCCCGATGAAGGAATTCCATCCATTTGTTCTCAGCTTCTTTCTTTTCCATTTGTTACTTTTCCATCTGATTTATTTTATGTGGTGTCTTCTCTGGGATTTTTTATGTAATGGGGTCCCTGCCTACTGAAAGGGACTTGGAGCTAAATGATCTTTAAGGTCCCTTCCAACCCAAGCCATTCCATGATTTTATGAGTTACACACTCTTGTTTCCTTACGTATTTGTGGATGTTGACACATTATTTCTAATTAGAGATTTTTTTCAAGTAATACAGTCATTTTCTATACAGACTTTGTTTATCCTCAGCCATCTCTAATGGCCACTTAAGGGAACTCTTGAGAGTTTAAATGCTTCTCCATCTCAACCAGGTCAAAGTATTCTTTTTTCTTACCCTTTGTTCATTTCATAATGCCCTTCTTAAACAGCTGTTGGAAGCTCCTAAACAAGACTCATGTTTTCTGATTCATGGGAGCAAATGTCTGAAACCTTAGTCTGAAGAATCAATTATTGTGAAAATTACAAAAAAAAAAAAAAAAAAAAAAAAAATTTGAAAAAAAAAAAAAAAAAAAAAAAAAAAAAAAAGGAAGACATGGAGCAAAAAAGAAAACCCACATGGAAAGTCGATGTAAATCAAGACTGAATACATTGAGGCCAGGTGTTTTATGACCCTCAACATGTGTCCAGCTAGCTGTGGGATGATTTCATGCTTCCAGGAAGTTCTTCTGAAAGATTAAATTCTCACACTAGCTGCAATATTGCAATCTGGGAAGTGAAATTTTGACCCCGCTAAAAGCACTGTCAAAACTCTCATCCAGTATGATTTAGGGGCAATTTTGGCTCCAGCTGTGTGGAAGTGTTCCTGGCTGGAGCACTCCTTGAGTTGTTTGAGCATATCCCCAGAGGGAGGCAGGCAGCTTTGTGAAAGAGTTGGTCAAACAGTCATTCTGAAAGGAGAGCAACTACCACAGGGCAGCAAAGAATGGGTAAAAGGAATGTCATCACCCAGTGCACAAATCAGAATTCAAAAATGTTCTTCTTTCTCTCTTTCCTTTTTTTTTATTTTTCCTTTTTTTTTTAATGTATAGGGTTTTGGGTTTTTTGTTTTGGTTCTTTTGAAGAACTGGTTTTACTCACTTCAGCTGGAACAGTCTCTCAGCAGAGCTTTGTAATGGAAATGAGAAGACACATTATCTTTTTCTTACAATCTGCTATAAAATACATGGGAAGAGAGGTTTTTCATATGTATGTAAACTGAGAATCAGTTTTGAGAGTTGTACCTTCCACTTCAGAGCCCAAGGTCTACACCTTGATGCCTACTTTGAAAAGCAGGGAGTTTATCTCTCTAGTAGTCAATTATCTGAGGTTGTAATGAGCAGGCTTTTTTGAAACCTTGAAAAGCAGTTTCCTGGTATCTAAATCCCTTAACTACTTCATTCTTTACCTTTCTGTTATGCAGAGCATTGCTTTGTTGGGTAGAAAGCCAGCATAGCTCTGGATTGCTTATAGATTTAATGTGAAGAGACCTGCTGTATGCTGACCTTCAGTGATCTCTGGTGCTCTGCTCTGTCCTCTTCACCTCACCACTGTGTCATTTGTTTAAAGTGGCACAGAAGTTAGAAAAGGAAATTGAAAGCAACTTCAAAAAGCTCTGTTTCACTCGTTACTGCATTTAGTACAAAATAAGTTACTTTGGTACACAGTGGCTTGACAAATACTGTTTGTGAATATCCATAATGCAATGTATGATAACTATGGATGAGAGGATTTGAACTTTAAAAATGTCATGCTTGGTCATTTTGACCTATTATTTACAGTCAATTACACATTCCCTCTCCTGTGGCTTGGTAATATTAGATCAAGAATTATTTTGCAGGGGGAATATAAAGATTTTCTCTGATGTATGAGCATAGTCATTAGTATAGTCTGTCCATTTCCCAGAAGGAACATTCTTGTGGTACTTTGGTAGGAAATGTCACAACACTTCAGATTGATGGAAGATATGTAAGGAATATTTCAGCTAAATAAAAGATTATATTTCCCTTCTAGTAAGTGGAATATTCCTGCCAGTACTGATATGCCTTTCCATCAATGAAGACAAATTCTTCTCAATGACATAACTCTGTGGAAAATCTTGAAGTACAAAAAGTCACTTTTAAATGGCAGGCACTGTAAGTTTGCAGAAAGAACAACCTTCCCATAATATGAAAAAATAATTCAGAGGAAGAAAAAATTTAGCATACTGCAACCCCAAGGATTGCAGATATGAAAGGGGCATAAACACTTTGAAAGGCTATATTAAAAAATTATGTGCTCTATAAGGGTTTATTTCTTAACATTCCGAGTATATAGAGAATAAGACCACTTCATATGAATGTAGGCTCTTTGATCTAAATCCTCCAATTACTGCCAAATTATATCTTTTAATAATTAAATAATAATTCCAGTTATATATTTGCCTTATATGGATAATAAATGGACTTAGTACAGTATTTCAAGAGTGCTATATGTAGAAAGTCTTCTATATGTTTGAAAACCAAATACTTATTTACTTGCAATGAATAATAATTCATTGCAAGTAAGTAAGACACATTCCATTCTTTGTGAGACTTAGGCCTTCTCAAATCTCAGGGTAAAAATGGTGATTGTTACATGCTCTAATGATAGCCAGGAGGCTGAAATCATAAAACAGAAATAAGCATTTTTAGGAGAAGTTTCTGAGCTGTGTGTTTCTTGATATGACTAAGATATTTCAGATTAGTTTATGATTTATATACTTTCAATGGTGTCCTTCAAAGTGTACTAAAAATTTTAGGTCATCTTTCTGTCAAAATTACATCCAAATCAAAATAAAGGACTGCATAAAAAGATGTCATTATTCTTCTTAAATTGTAGAGATTATGCTATGCAAGTCTTTTTTCATCTGGTTTTTAATTTTCTTGGAAATTAAACCAATAAAATATGTATTGTGTTTGATATGTCTGCTGGTAATGGTTGCATTCCTGACCTTCAAGCTCTTGAGGTGCTCAGGTCTGCTTGGAGGCATGGCTGGGCACATGGATGATGTGGCTCAGGACTGGAGAGATGTCTTATCGTTGCTGGGATTCACAGGTGAGGTGCTCCCTCCATCTGTGTAGCCACATGCCAGTCAGCTGCACACTCAGGCCCTGCACAAAATGAACTCAATCACTGGTTTCCTTTAAAATATGTACAGTCAGTCCTGCTGAATCCATCTTTGTTATCCAGTGGTTGGTGTTTTCGCCAAGGGTGACATTGTGAGGAAAGAGATGGTTTATTTCCCTCTCCTTTGCCTGGAGGGATCCAACGCTGTTTTTCATCACTGTCTAACCTGTCAGTCGGTAGGGAAGACTAAACAGGAGTTGGTATGTGTAGGAATCTCAGGGAAAGCTTGTCCCTCCCTTCTCATGGGGTTTACATGGAAATGATCTGTGACTCAAAGGGTCAGAAAAAGACACCTGAGCACAGTGGGGCAGCATCCACACGTGACTTTGTGCTACTTGTTCATGCATTTTTTGATTCACTGAGTGTGGGAGGGGAAGAAGAGCAGAACTGTGCAACACAACATGTAGGTCACTCCCACGGAGGTGAAATGTGAGTTCATCCCTCTATCTCCATTATACAGCTGTCATGAGGCAACTGCTGGGGAAAACATAGGCATAGCTCCCGAAGAGGGGAGGAGAGGGCAGTGTTCCTTTCCACTGGGCATTTTGAGACATTGTGTTTGCAGAGGCAGCCTTGTTTCCTTCCTCTGGCTATCAGTGTGTAAGTACAAGGTGGAACCTCATCAAGACTAGAGAAGAACCTCCCAAGTGTAAAATAGGCCAGTAGGGGAAATATGAGTTTGATTCATCAAAAGATGAAATCAAAATGTACCTGTATTTCTGACTTCTTGGTAGGTGTGCCACTGCAAGGCCAGGGTGAACAGGAAAAAATGTGGGGGAGAAAGAAAAGTGGCATTTTCTGTAGTCAGAGTTTAAGAGAAAGTTGTGATGCACATGCTTTCATCACCCAGTTTGTGGGGTTTTTTCCCAGAAAATAAAGTATGTAGGTATCCTTAGGCCCATAAATCACATTCTGAAAACTCAGAGTAAGTCATTGACAGAGAGGTACCTCTAAAGCAAGGAACCATTTAAGAGGCTTTACTTGCCTCCTTTTCATGCCAAAAGTTTGCTTTGCTGGTCACTTGGTGAGGTGGTGTTTGTGTTTCCTTTCCAGTAGGAAATAAAATAGGCAGTTTTCCTGCATGAGGAGTGAAGTGACTCACTCAGGACTATGGGCAGGGAGAGGTGTTAGGGAAGTTTGAAATGGGGTACCTTTGAGGATCACTGGCATGGACAAAGTAGATCAGAATAATCTAATAAAACAATCCCTAATAATCCCAGAAATATGTGTTACAGAAAACATTAGTCATTTTTCTG